TCTGACTAGCCATGGGCTTTTGACCAGATTTATAGCACCAGACATGAATTCCTTCCTGGGTAGCAGGCCTCTAAGGCCTCTAATCCAATCCAAAAGTGGTTGGTTACTCCTTGCTGTTATTTTATTACTGGACATATCTTGCCTGGCAGGTTAGTATTGTAGCATGCCAGGGTCACTGCTGGGTAATACCACTGATGGGTTTTCTCCCCCACCCCCACCCTATGACCTGCATAACATCCTGTGGCACAGAAGCTAGTGAGCAGGGAAAAGGTTGTCAGTCAGTTCCAGCTTGATTTCTACATATTCTGCAACCAAAGTGTGCTGCTCTTTAGCAATAAGATTTTACTATCTAGTTCTAGAAGGCGACCAAGAATAATGGCAGTCGCCTGTGTTGTTCTGGGAAGGTACGTAACTTTCTTTAAAAAAAAAAAGGAAAAAAAGATGGACAGCAAATTCTCTAGTATCTTTTTTGGCACCAAGGACCTGGCCCTTAGCCTCAGTGAACTAGTTTTCACTTTGTTGTTCCTGGTTTCCTGACTCACTGTGCTTGGGACTCCTGACACACAAGTCAGCAGGCCTGTAGCTCATGCTGTCCCGTCTGTGTTTTGTTCCCCAAGTGTACTGTGTTTATCTGTGTTAAATCTCAGTGCGTCAGCTTTGCTCCTACGCTTTTACTTTGGGGCAGAACTGCTTTGTCAGAGCCTACAGTGTGTGGCTTGCTGTTTGGCCTTCTCAAGTTTTATTTCCTTCTTAAATATTGGATTCAGTTATTTGTTTGTTTGCTTTCTAAGTAAGATTTCTAGTAACTTGTTTATAATGTTAAGTTAAAGCTTTATCCAGGCATCAGATACTACAATTTTGTAATTAGACGTGAAATGTTTGATATAAACAAGGATCATGTGTGAGTGAGGAAACATGCATCCAAGCCCATGTGTGGAGATCAGAGTACTGCTTTTGGGAGTCAGTTTTCTCCCAGTGTGGTTTTAGGATCTACCTGACATGATCAGGCTTGCAAGGCAACATTTGTATGCACTGAGCTGCCTTGCCAGCCCTGATTGTCCTACTTTAGAATAGAATGGAAAGAAAAAGCCAGATACAATCTGTAAACTAATTAAATTTTTTATTCAAAAAACAGTGTTAAAAGACATTTCAAGGTAGCTGGAGAGATGGCTCAGCACTTAAGAGCACTTGATGCTTTTGTAGAGGACCCAGGCTTGGTGCCTAGCCCCTGCATGGCAAGTCATAACCCTCTGTAACTCTAGTTTCAAGGGACTCAACACCCTCTTCTGGCCTCTATGGGCACTGAATGCACATAATACATATACAGACAGACAGACAAAACATCCATCCACATAAAGTAAAAATAAACGTTTCTTAAAGACATTTGACTCTTTCAACTCAGTAATAAAGATAAGTACTAAAAAGACAGTGATAAAAGCTCATGTAATGTGAAGAAAGTAAACTGGTGAGGTAGCTTAATGGTAAAATGCCTCTCATCCAGGCTGATTACTTCAGCCGCATCCTGGGATCCACAGGGGGGAAAAGAGAGAACATAATGCCCACAAGCTGTCCTCTGACCTCCATGTGCACATCATAGCATGTGCCTATTCACACACAAAACAAGTAAATTAAAAAATGGAAGTGAGGAAAGTATGTAGCTGATTCTACTGGTAAGATTTTAAAGTGGCCAAAAGGACATAAAAAGATGCCTAATATTATTACCCTTCAGAGAAATGCAAATCAAAGCCCCAGGGAGCTGGGTGAGGTGGCACATACCTGTAATCCAACACATGGGAGGTTGAAGCCAGAGCTGAGGTTCAGAGTCAACCTTGGTTTGGTAACAAGTTTGAGACCAGCCTGGGCTACATGAGACCCTGTCTCAAAACAAGCAGAAGAACCACAGTGAGATGTTACTCCTTGCCATTACGTTGACTACTTAAAAATGCCACTAACAAGAATGTGGGGAATCCATAATCTTCAAACACTGCTGGTGGGAATGTAAAGTTATGGTATGGTTGCTTTGGAAACTCGTCTGGCACTTCCTGCAAAGGTAAGACATAATATTTAGTATACAACCCAGCAATTCACTATAGGTATAGACTCAAGAGATATAAAAGTGTCTTACAAATCTTGTGTATAAGTCTTCATTAGTGGCACTACTCAAAATAGTCAAAGCATGGAAACAGCCCAGATGTCCCTCAACCGATACACATGAATAAACATACTTTGGACATAATGAGTAATGAATGCTCCAGAATCTGAAACTTCGTGAGGAATGACATAATGCCACAAGTAGAAAGCTTTCACAGCTGACATCAGGTGATAAGCTGAGGTTAAATGTAACATATACCTGTAATCCCAGCACTTGGGAGGCTGAAACAGAGGGATCATGAGTTTGAAGTCAACCTAGACAAGTCCTAAGCCAACCTATAGTAAATAGTGAGATCTTGTCTCAAAAAGTAAGTTAATTAAAAATTAAATAGGTGTACTCACATGAGAGTAAGTTCAATGCCGTGAGTTCTAGGCCATCCAGCATTGCAAGAATTTGTCTCAGAAACAGATGTAGGCATACTAAAACTTTCGTATGAAATTACCACCAGGTTATGAGTATAAATGTGTACAAAACACAAATATAATTCGTTTACTTGCATCCCATCCCCACAACACCTCATTATATGTATGCACATGTTCCAAAATCTCAAATCTGAAACACTTGTACTTTGAGGTATTTTGGGGAAGAGGTACTCACCTGAACTCATACATTCTCCCGTGGGGTAAGCCTGGAGACCTGCTGAAGGGAAAGAAGCGAGTTATAAAACACAGGTACTGTGAGACTACCATAGACCTTCTTTATTTGTAGATTTCATATTTGCAGATTTGCCTACCCACCAAAGTTCATTTATAACCTCAGCATCAGTACTTGATGGTCATTTGTGTGCATGTATAAGACGTGGAGATCTGTCATCCCAGCTGCAGTGGAGTAAAACAGTGTTCAAGTTTACTTCGACTCTCACGCTATGAACACATGCCCATTTCATAGTCTGTTTAGTTCTGGGTTTTTCACAATAACAAATTGATTTCACTGTTTAAAATGGCTCCCAAGTGTAGTTCTCTCTAATATTCCAAAGTACAAAATGGCTGTGATAGACTTTACTAAAGAAAAAGTATGTGTATTAGATTTGTTATTGTGCTGATAGCCGTGAGTCATTGATACATTAACAGTATATCTTTAACAGAAATGCATGTAAAGCAAGTACATGTACTAATTGGTTGATGAAAATATGGCTTGAACAACAGGCATGGTGACACATGCCTTTAGTCCTTGTACTAGAGAGGCCAGCAGCTACACAGTGAGTTATAGGCCAGAATGGGCTATCTCAAACTAACAAAGTGGCCTGAAGCCCATAGGAACCTAAATCTTTGTATTACTTCCAGGAGTAATGATTAGGTATTAGTAGGATTAGTAAGTAGGTAGGTATAGGATTAGTTCATAAATCTTTTAAGGATATAACCACCTCAATAACTAGAATCAACTATATATGAACTATCTGGAATAGACAAGGTCATAGGGACAAAGTGAGTTTGTGTTTAGCAAAGGTTAAAGATGGGAAAGTGGAAATGACTGCTAGTGAACACAAGCTGTTTTAAAACTAGCTTAGCATGACAGCAATGGGTTTCACTGTGATATTTTCATATGTGTTGTTATGATTTGTTCTCGTTCTCATTGTCCTATGAATTCAGGATATCTTTCAGGGGTAATGAAAGTGTTTCAAAATAAAATATAATGGTGTTATAACTGGGAATATTAAAACACACACACATTGAATATTATATTAAATGGGTCAGCTGATGGTAACTGAATTTTATTTCAAAACTGTTTATTAAAACATTTCTAGGAAATGGATTAGTTTTAATATTAATTGAATAATAGATTACATGAAACTTAGTTTTCAGTGATGGGTTGGTGGCATAATTTGATCTGAAATATATTTTTCTTGAGAAATGTATTCTGAGATATTTAAGGGTAATGTAACAAGTTTAGAAGTTGTTTAGAAGAATTTCAGATGTTTCAAGAATTTGTGGACAAGAGATAAAAAGTAAATATAAGATGATAGTAGTTACTGAATGTACTTTAAAAATATGTGTGTATTCTGCCAAGTTTTTTTTTTCCTTTTTAAATTTTTTCAAAAGAAAAGGTTGAGTGGAGGAAACTAAACACAGCATTGAGACTATACATTTGTCCTTCTGTCATAGGCTTGCTTAGTCGTCTTTATTGTGCTGGTTGTAATAGAAAACAAGAATGTATTGTGGACACTAGATGCACTTAAGCGTGTCACAATAGAAAAGCATTAAAACCTGGTGCCCATGGAGGTCGGAAATGGCTGTTTGATTCCCTGTGACTCCAGTTATTAGAGTTATAGATGGTTGTGAACTGCTGTGTAAGTGTTGGAAACCAAATCAGCTCCTGTGGAAAAGCAGCCAGTGCTCTTAGCTGCTGAGCCATCCATCTCTCCAGCACCCAGCATACAGACTTTAAAATCATTAAGCTTAAAATGGTAAAGACAGCTTTTTAAATAAAAAATATACAGTTCTTAGTTGCTGAGCTCTCTCTCCAGCATACAGACTTTAAATTAAGCTTAGTATAGTAAAGATAGTTTTTAAATAAAAAATATAGTTTTTTTAAAAAAGGAATTTTCACAGCAAGTTATATATAATTTAAAAGAAATGGAATTTCTAAAACAAACAGAAAAATACATAATTAAAACTTGCTTATTGAACAAAAGATTTATTTTGTGCCAGGCGGTGGTGGTGCACGCCTTTAATCCCAGCACTCGGGAGGTAGAGCCAGGTGGATCTCTGTGAGTTGGAGGCCAGCCTGGTCTACAGAGTGAGATCCAGGACAGGAACCAAAACTGCACAGAGAAACCCTGTCTCGAAAAACAAAACCAAACAAAGATTTATTTTGTGCTTAAGTAACCCAGAATTTTCTTGTGTTTTAGATCTGCTGACTTGGGCCCTACTTTATTGACGAGACCTGGACAACCAACACTTACCAGAGTGCCCCCACCTATTCTTCCCAGGCCATCCCAGCAGACGGGGAGCAGCAGCGTCAACACTTTCAGACCTGCTTACAGTTCTTTCTCTTCTGGATACGGAGCCTATGGAAATTCATTTTATGGAAACTATAGCCCTTACAGTTATGGATATAACGGTTTGGGCTTTAACCGCCTCCATGTAGACGATCTTCCACCCAGTCGGTTTGTTCAGCAAGCTGAAGAAAGCAGCAGAGGCGCATTTCAGTCCATTGAGAGCATTGTGCACGCATTCGCCTCTGTCAGCATGATGATGGACGCCACCTTCTCAGCTGTCTATAACAGTTTCAGGGCTGTCTTGGATGTAGCAAATCACTTTTCCCGGTTAAAAATACACTTTACAAAGGTTTTTTCCGCCTTCGCGTTAGTTAGGACTATAAGATACCTGTATAGACGGTTGCAGTGGATGATGGGTTTAAGGAGAGGCTCTGAGAATGAGGACCTGTGGGCAGAAAGTGAAAGAACTGTGGCCTGCCTTGGTGCCGAGGACCAAGCAGCCACCTCAGCGAAATCCTGGCCAATATTCCTGTTCTTTGCTGTTATCCTTGGTGGTCCCTATCTCATCTGGAAACTTCTGTCTACACACAGTGATGAAGTAACAGGTAAGAATAATTAAATGAGCTGGGGATGGTGGCACACACCTTTAATCCCAGCATTCAGGAGGCAGAGACAGGCAGATCTCTGTGAGTTCAAGGCCAGCCTGGTCTACAGAGCAAGTTCTAGGACAGCCAAGACTGTTACACAGAGAAACCCTGTCTCAAAAAATATATATATATATAAAAAACAGCTTCAGAAACATAACAGTCTCACACGTCAAAAATGGATTTGTTAAATCATTCAGTTGCATTTACTATTTTAATATAATTATACTTTTAGTTAAGAGCTTCAAAACCAGAAGAGGAATACTTATGTAACAAAGACAGGCTTGCCGATTATTTATTCAGTTTAATAGTACACACTAACCAAACTTGTTTACAGAGTACTGAACTTGGTGCTGTGGAAATATATGGAGATCCAAAGGGTATAATCCCTATTTTTCTGAAATATCGTTGAAGGAGAGTCTTAGTTAAGACAGCACCAGGCGGTTTTAATAAGGGAAAAACAGGGCACAGTAAGGCAGAAGCAGGAGAGCAGGTCCGGGTCTAACTGACTGTGAAGCCGTAGTGGAGGGGCGGAGTCGACGTCTTTGGCCATGGTAATGAGGAAGAAATGGCATCTGAATTAGCTTTTTGATAGCTTTTGATTGTTGGGGGAGGAGGTAGCTCACTGGCACACGTGAAGCCTAGGGTCCAATCTATACTACCACCAAAAAGAAAAAGCAAGAAAGGACCATCAAGCAACTACAAGCAGGTGGAACTGCTTGAACAAAAATACATGGGCAGGAAATGTGAGGCCTGGCCAACAGTTGTCTTTATACACAGAAAGAAAGGGTGATTAGAATTAGATTGAAGGCTAATGATGAGAGAAAGATCTTAATTGCTCTTATGAAACTTAATTTTCATTTGTAAGGAATTGGTGATTTTTTTTTTATTGGTAGTTTTTGTGTTAAGCATTTGTAACATAAATAGTTTTCTAAAGAGTTCAGACTGGGGATTGGAGGTATAACTCACTGCTAAAGTGTTTACTTGCTTACATGTATATGTAAGGCCCTAGGTCTGTTGCCCAGCATATGAGAGAGAGAGAGCAATAACAATTTGTCCAAAGAGTTTGAGATAGATTCAGATTGAAGCAAATTGCAGTTAAATAAATGGTAAGATTTATAAAGGGTTGGATCGTGTTTAGTATCTAGTAACCTGTTTGGCACATTTTAAAAAAAGGTTTAGCCAGGCGGTGGTGGCATATGCCTTTAATCCCAGCACTTGGGAGGCAGAGCCAGGTGGATCTCTGAGTTTGAGGCCAGCCTGGTAAGATCCAGGACAGGCACTAAAACTACACGGAGAAACCGTGTCTCAAAAATCCAAAAGAAAAAAAAAAGGTTTAATACTTACTAATTTGAGAAGTTAGATTGGATGAAAGAGGTTGAAGACCTAAATCAGGGTATGTGAGAAGCAGGACAAATACAGTGGGTTGGTTGATAAGGCAAAGAAGGAATTAAAATGTCATAGACTTTTAAACTTGAGTTATTATGGATATTTTATTAAGCAGGTATCCGCTAAATGCCTAATACAGGTCAGTTACAGTCGTAGAAGATGGCTATAAAGCGTGGTTTGTGGCAGTCTGGTGGGAGGCGATAGACAAAACACGGAGTGAGCCAGAAACGAGTAAGTGCTGCAGGAAGGAGAGATAGTCGAGGGGACGTTGGGGTCCATGGAGGGAAGAGGAGTGGAGAGGGCTGGGGTGCTTCAAGTATTTAAGAAGGGCCTTCCTGAAAGAGCTGAGCAAAGAAGCCCTCCAGCTCCTGGAGAAAAGTTCCAAACAGTAGAACTTCCAAGGTATTTCAGTGGCAGTACACCTAACATGATAGATGAACAGCAAGGAGTCGGAGTGCCTGGGGCAGTGTAAGAGTAACTGGCAGGAAATGGAGAGGAGGAAAACAGTGGTTGGGCTCATGTTGAGTTGATGTACCATTGGGGCATTCAAGTGGAACTTGACAGAGTTTGAGAAGGGGTGTGTGTGTGTGTGTGTGTGTGTGTGTGTGTGTGTGTGTGTGTGTGTGTGTGTGTGTTTCTCATTCTGTAGCCCAGACTCTTTAAACTTGGAACAATCCTCCTGCCTCGACCTACCACATGCTTAGATTACAAATATGAATCACTGTGTTGGGTTGCAGAAAGCACTTTTAAAAGCAAGTGGGGGCGGGTGGACAACAGACATGCACACATACACACACACACTGGGGGTTGGGAGAGAGCAGATAGAGAGCTTTTAAATGGCTAGCCTCCAAGTCTGACAACTTGACATGAATCTCTTGGACCTACCTACATGGAGGAAGGAGAGAAAAAAGGCAGACCTCAATCTTAGGAAATAAACAAGATTTATGAGTCATTCACATCGAAGTGATAGTTGAACTAGTGAGTGGGTATCACTGTACTAGAGAACTCAAGAAGAGAAGACAAGATAGAAATCACCTAGAACAGGAAGAGCCATGTTACTGCTGCATTCCAGAAGCAAAGGTGAGAAGCAGAACCTTCAAGAAGGTTGGTGAATACTGCTCCGTAGTAAGGTGAAGGACTGGGTAGAGATCAGATTTGGCGATTTGAGTGCCTCAAGCTCCAAAGCACACTTGTGGTGAAGTGGAAGGGAAGGGAAAGTCTTTGAGGTGGGAAGGTGAGCAATGATAGGAGAGGAAAACAACGGGTCGGTGTACTTGTTTCCTGGTTTCCGCCCCGTGCAGACTGGACTCAGGGCCTTACTTACAGTAGTCAGCCATTGAGCTGCATTCTTAGCCCTGCTTTGTCTGTTAAGAGATTAGATCTCTGGGGCTGCGGCGGCACACGCCTTTAGTCCCAGTACTTTAGAGATAAGGGCAGGAAGGTCCATGTAGCTAGTTCCAGGCTAGCCAGGGATCTATATTAAGATCTTAACTCAAAAAAAAAGAGGAGGGGGGAGGAAGTTAGATCTCATGATGTTTTTAGGCCAAAGGAAAGAGGTTAAATATCATGGTGATGCCCATGCCACATAATCTCACACAGAGAGGCCAGCTTGGCAGACAGCAAGTTCCATGCCACCTGGAGCTACAAAGTAAGATCCAGTCTCAAAAAAAAAAGGGAAGAAAGGAGTAGATAGCAATGGAGTGATTATAGATTAGGGATTGGTGGAGGAAGTAAGTAATGAACCCTTTTTATAGGAAAGAGGAGAAAAATGTGCCACAAAGAGCCAGGTAAAAAAGAAGGGGGGATGTCTTTTTCTGAGATAGGTCGGTAGGTAGGTAGGTAGGTAGGTAGGTAGGTAGGTAGGTAGGACAGACAGACAGACAGATTTCTGAGAAGCAAAATTGAAGAAATTTGGTTCTTAAAATTCAGTTTCCCACCGCTTAGAGCAGACTTCCACAAACCGGCCTCTGCTAACCCTTCTCAGTTCGCACTGCGGTTGGCATGCAATTTAAGACTACTGTTTATACTTTTCAGTAACCAGAAGAAAGAATATTTGTAAAATCAGAAGACAGGCTGAGGAGATGGATGAATCAGTAACGGGCCTGCTGCACAGACAGGAGGACTTGCTTAAGTTTAGATCACCAGCACGCAAGAGCCTTGTGTGTGTGACTCTAGCACTGGGGTGGGTAGAGACAGCTAGATCCCTGGACCTAGTCTCAGCCAGCCTATCCGGTCTGTGAGCGCCAAGTTCAAGGAGAAACGTGGTGTCAAAAAACAAGTGATAGAGGAGGATGCCCAGCATCAACCTCTGACCTACATGAACACATATTCTCTCTCTCTCTCTGTCTCTCTGTCTCTGTCTCTCTCTCACACACACACACACACACTCTCTCTGTCTCTCTCTCTCTCACACACACACACTCTCACACACATACACACTCACACTCTCTTGCTCTCTTGCTTTCCCTGTCACACACACTTTTTCTGATATGAACACATAGACAACACACATTTTAAAAAATCAGAAGAAATCTGGCATGTAAAGATTATAGGAAATTCAGATGCCAATATTAATAAAGTTTTATTGAAATATAGCCATACTTACTCATTGCTGTGGCTGATTTTGTGTTGAAACAGCAGAGTAACTTGTAGAAATTTTATGTGGCACTGTAATTGCTTCATGCTTCTGGTCTGTATACTACAAATCTCCAAAACTCAGTTACACTGTGGCAGCATATAGAGTGCCACATATATTGTTACACTATTATTGTGGTTTGAATGAGAATGGCCCCGTAGTCTCATAGATTTGAATACTTAGTCACCAGGGAGTGGCACTATTTGAAAGGATTAGGAGGTGTGAACTTGTTGGAGTATGTGTGGCCTTGTTGGAGGAAGTGTGTCACTAGGGGTGGGCTTTGAGGCTTCAAAAGCCCAAGCTAGGCCCAGTGGTGCTCTCTTTTTGTTGCCTTCGGATCCAGATATAGAACTCTCAGTTACCCTATCTGCCTGCATGCTGCCATACTCTCCCCACCATGAGAATAGTGGACTAAACCTCTGTAACTGTAAGCAAGCCCCAGTTAAATGCTTTCCTTTATAAAGTTGCCATTGGGCTGGAGAGATGGCTCAGAGGTTAAGAGCACTGGCTGCTCTTCCAGAGGTCCTGAGTTCAATTCCCAGCAACCACATGGTGACTCACAACCATCTATAATGAGATCTGGTGCCCTCTTCTGGCATTCAGGCATTCGTGCAGGCAGAACACTGTATATGTAATTAAATAAATAAATCTTTTTAAAAAATCCTTTAAGCCGGGGCGGTGGTGGCGCAAGCCTTTAATTCCAGCACTCGGGAGGCAGAGCCAGGCAAATCTCTGTGAGTTCGAGGCCAGCCTGGTCTACAAAGCAAGTTCCAGGAAAGGCACAAAACTACACAGAGAAACTCAGTCTCAAAAAACCAAAAAAAACTTAAAAAAAAAAAAAAAAGAGTTGTCATGTGTCTCTTCACAGAAATAGAACTAAGACTTTGTATTTTTTTTAAAGGATTTTTTTTTTTTTTTTTTTTTGTGGTTGTGGTGGCACTGTGCTGGTGCTGGGAATTAAACCTAGACCCTTAAGCATGCTAAGCTAGTACTCTACATCTGAGCAATGTCTCATACTAATTTCATGATGATGAGTTTATCCATAGCACACAAGAAGTGAAAAGGAAGAGTAAACTTGGAGAGTTAAACTTTAAAGACACAGTACAGTGAGTGTTGGTAAAGTACTGTGTTTATTATACAATGACACAATTGCTGTGTTAAATGAATACCGTTACCAAGCTTTCCTTTGCTAGCCAGTGGAGGAAATCTTTATTGATAATAATTATTGCAGCAGCCAAGGAAATCGATCAGAGACAGTAAGTCTGCTTAAGACCGTTCGCCTGCCGATGAGAACAGGTTTTTACCTGTCAGAATGACATGTCAACTGAAAACAAGACAAGAAGGCTGGTGTGTATGGGTGGGTTAGTAGCAGAGCTGGTGCTTAGCGTGCGCAAGGACCTGGTGTCAGACCTCAGCACCCCGCAAAAGAAGAAAAGGGCAAATTATTTGAGTAGCTTTCTCTGGCTTGTGATAACCCAGTAGATCCTGATACTACTTCTCAGTTGCTTGAGGAGGCAATGGTAATTTGAGGTAATGATATAGTTGGCCACTGTGAATAAAATATACAATACGACTATTTTCAAAATTGAAGCAATAATTTATTACAGCCTGAGGTATACTCTAGTAAGATATATTGCAACTGATGATAAGAATGTAAGTGGAGTCTAAAAATGTTTAGTTAAACAAAATTTACAAATCTTTTAAGAACAAGCTTTTTAAGTGTATGATTATTCATTGTTTTACTCAGCAACGGAGAATATTAGATATTATTAAGCCAGTAGTTTCAGTGGTAAACTTTCATCTGCTCTTATGATATATATATATATAACAATTGTCATTATATTAAGTTGTGTCAAAAGCTGAAGTGGGGACAGGAGAGAGGGTGCAGCAGTTTAGAGCACTTTCTCCTTCCCCAGAGAACGAATTCTTTTCCCACCACCTACATTGGTGACTGACTCACAGGCAATCTCTTCTGGCCTTGCTGGAACCACAGACGTGTGGCATACTCATACCCATATACACATACATATAAATAAAAAACCTTTTTAAAGGATTTTTTTTAAGTAGAAGTTGGAAATACTGACTTTGACTTGTTTGTCTTTTGTTTTCGTACGTGGCAGAGTCTCATGTACATAATGAAAATAGAAGATGGATTAGTTGGAAGACAAAGGGGGTCAGCAGCAATAGCAGGGACAGGAGGATGGGGTTGTATATATCAGCATGCATTACAACAATTTATGAAAGTATCATAATGAAACCCATTATTATGTGTGTGAAATAAATGAGATTTCCCCTCCTACAGGTTTCAAATTTCAAACTACAATGCTAGGATTAGTTTTGGACTTGCAAATGCAAAGGAAATATCGGTATTTCAGAATCTCTGTAACTGTGTAATTGAAGAGATCCCACTATTTGTCATTTGGAAGTGATTAGTCAGCAGTGTACTAACATGGTTCACAGCGCAATCTGTCCACCTCCCAAGTAATGAATATAATCAAACTTGGATGCCCATGAATTGTACCTCAAGTCTTACTACCAATTAGCATTCACAAATGAATATTTGCAATTGAACCCAAAATAATTGAAATATTATCCTCCCCCCAAGTATTCCTTTCTTCTTGGTAGACATGCACTGATTAAAAAAAGAAAAAACTTTTTTAATTTTGTCCCAAAAAAAACATGAAACTTCTTTTTCTTTCTTGTTATATAATATCCAGGAAACTTCCCTCCTGGCCTTTAGGACCTAAAATGTATACTACTAACCCTCTACAGGGAAAAGGAAAAAAATCGTCAGCCCCTGGCTGAAAGTAAGAGAGTTTAAGAAAAGGGAAACATTCATAAACATTTTCTTAGCTCAGTGTTTGCTGTGGGATTTCCGTAGGAAGGGAGACCTGTCCACTTGGCAAATGAAGTTATGCAGTTTACAAGCCATAGCCAAAGAATATCTGCATGTTGCAAACTTTATTAACCGAATCTTAATTTTGTTTATAGACATCAACTGGGCAAGTGGTGAGGATGACCATGTAGTTGCTAGAGCAGAATATGATTTTAATGCCACGTCTGATGAAGAAATTTCTTTCCGTGCTGGTGATATGCTAAATTTAGCCCTCAAAGGTAACAAATCATGAATACATTGTAATTATCTTGAATTTTTAATACTTGTAAAGGTAGTATTGGAAACTGAGACAACATGACTTTACTTACTAGTTAACTTGGAAATGGTTACTAGAATTTTACTTTTGTCAGGTTTGGGGTCGGGGGGAGCCGGGGGAGGGGTTGGTTGATTTTTGCAGGGAAGAGATTGAGACAGGGTCTCATACTGTAGCCCAGGCTGGTCTGGAACTCACTGTTAGCCCAGGCTGACCTCAGACTCATGGCAGTCCTCCTCCCTCAGCCTTCCAAGGGCTAGAACCACAGTGTTAGCCTCCACTCCCATTACCCTGTTTTTCTCTCCCACCCCTGCTTACCCACCTTACTCTTCCTAACTAGTCCCCTCCTGATATTATGGACATGAGACCCTGTGTCAAAAAAACAGTAAAGTGCCGGGCGGTGGTGGCGCACGCCTTTAATCCCAGCACTCGGGAGGCAGAGCCAGGCGGATCTCTGTGAGTTCGAGGCCAGCCTGGGCTACCAAGTGAGTTCCAGGAAAGGCACAAAGCTACTCAGAGAAACCCTGTCTCGAAAAACCAAAAAAAAAAAAAAAAAACAGTAAAGTCAGAGAAAATACCCCATAGTGGTGTCCCAGCAACACTTCTCTGTAGCTTCTCTTCTAAATCAAAACAACTGAGTTCCAAATCTGTTTGTCCCTACACAGTATACAGTATTAAAGTAACTCTGTTCGTCCCTACACAGTATACAATACTAAAGTATTAATTTCTCTAATTCTGATTCAAAATATGAAAGACACTGATGGGATTTTGTTGATTTGTTTGTTTCAAGCAAAGTCTGAGTCCAGGCTGCCTCAAACTTGTCATCCCCCTGCCTCATCCTCCTGAGTATTTACAGGTGTATAGCATCTTTATAACACTTTGTTTTTGCTACTTAGTATACTTTATTACTTTACTATAAATGTAAGGACAGAACTGAAGCTAGGCACACTAGCACAGGCCTATAATCCCTGCTCCTTGGGAGGCTACAGCAGGAGGATTGCCAACCTGGGCAACTGTGAGATTCCCTCTCTTGTTTAAAAGAAAAATGGATCTAGAACAGTTAAATGTGCTAGAGTTTGCTTTTGAGTGTGCGTGCACATGCTACTTGTTTACATATCTCACTGTGAGACTTGGATTTTGCTTAGAATAGTTATCATTAATATTCTGTTGGCCTCCAAATTATAGTTACAAAGCTGTCTTTCTCTTTCTTCAGAGCGACAGCCCAAAGTGCGTGGTTGGCTTCTTGCTAGTCTTGATGGTCAAACTACAGGACTGATACCTGCAAATTATGTCAAAATCCTGGGCAAAAGAAGAGGCAGAAAAACAAGAGAATCCAGTAAAATACTCAAGCAGCAACAGTCTGTTACCAACCCAACATTAATTAAAGGAGTCACTACTGCCAACTCTTTGGATGAACAGGAAGCTGCCTTTGAATCTGTTTTTGTTGAAACTAATAAGGTTCCAGGTGCACCTGATTCTACAGAGAAAAATGGAGAGAAACAAGATCTTTGATATCTTTCATGTTTTCGTGCAGGTGAACAATACTTTAGAGTACTTTTAAAAATTATTTCTTACAGAGAAATTAATTTGCAGTTGAATGAAAGCATTTGCTCATGGCTGTCCAGGCATTTTGCTGCTAGAAGTTACTTAGTCACACACTAATATGCTGGTCTAGTGATCTGGCTACACTTGGCCATTTATTGGACTGTGAGGACATTTGTTTCACCTAGCTTTTAGATTATGGAGATGGTTGTCAGTTTCATCTTATCTAAATCCCTAGGCTTATTGGAACAGTAAATTTGATGAACAGTGGAATACACAAGTTGCCTCAGAAGGGATCATTAATGCTTTTTAAAGTTCTGAGTTAATTGATTTGAAGTCTTCAAAAATTGAGTGATAACATCTACTTACAAGAACAGGCGAAAAGGCTGAATTTTTATAACCTTTTAAGTAAACTAAATAAAATTTTCTGATCTGTATTATGTCCAGTGTTGGATTTACTTTAGGTGATATGTTTCTACCTGCAAAAAATTGATCCTATTATCTTTTAGTATTTATAAAATTTACTGTTAAAAGGTCACTGGGAGTACTCTAATGGAGATGGTTCTAGAATGAGGGTCTCTTAATCTCTACAGTGTAACTAGTTTCCATCCTGAGTAACGTCAGAATATATACAGTTTATTTCTTTTCCTCCAACTAAGATGTAAGTCCTTTAATAGTGCACTTAGTGATACAATCAGTTCTGGCAGTAATGATTTTTAATCTTCATGAATTTTCTTCTTCAACATAGGAAAATTATTTTTATAAATTCCATAATCAGGATATGCTTTAAACATTGAAAATGTGTCACACTGGGTAGATTTCTTTTAGATTTAGTTTTCACTACTGAGACTAAATAATTCGCTTGCTATTTCAAATATATTATTTGACCTTTTTTTTTTTGGCTTAATGATTTAGTGTGTTTCATACAGTTTCCCCACAAAATTGGAATGTTCTTACCCTTGCTGTGAACAGACTACAAATTAATACTGTCAGAAATATACACAAGAATATATTTACAAATACTGCTAAAAACTGTGGTTTTGGTAAGTGATTTGTGTTTTTACCTTTCATACAGATGTGTTTACCAAATAAGTAATTCTAGAGCAGTTCATATTAAGCCATATCTAACCCAATATGTACTAGGCACAGAAGAACTAGACTTCTTGAGAAGGCCTGTTTGAAATGACAGTATAATAAGTGACATGTCCTTTTATCTCTCTCGAGAGAGGTGAGTCTTCATGGTACTTGTTTATCTCAGGCCTGTCTTCTGACACTGAGTTGGTAGCCTTCCACTCTACCACTGAACTGTGTCCCTAGCTCTCAAAACAAATATGAACTTCAGTCTTGAGATGTCTAACTGCTCGAATGTCTAAATGTTACTCTAGACATCTAGATTAAATAATAGTAATAAAATAGAAATGAAATGTTGAGTCGGCACTATTTAGATTTTTTTTCTTTAGAAGATGAGCTTTTTTTTTTTTTTTTTTTTTTTTCAGTTTTTCGAGACAGGGTTTCTCTGTGTAGCTTTGCGCCTTTCCTGGAACTCACTTGGTAGTCCAGGCTGGCCTCGAACTCACAGAGATCCTCCTGGCTCTGCCTCCCGAAGAAGATGAGCTTTAAGGTAGGATTTGTGACTGATAGCTGTATAGGAAAGAGAGCTTAGGCAAATAAATGACAGAAGCACATTTCTCTTAGGGTCTTTATTGTGTGCTGACTATACTAGATTACGGTATTAACCTGATAGCTACTTGTGTCCATTTTTATTAAAATTGTATAAAAGCAACTGTAGGACTAGAAAGGCAGAAAAATTTTGCAGCCTTTTTTTTTTTTAATCACAGCAGACTTAGAGTAATTTTTAGAGAAGATGGAATGTACTGGTCACAGCTCCAATATTATTAATTTAGGGGTTTCTTTAAGTAGTGCTTCCTCACAAGAAACTCCATTTTCAATTAACTAAATCACAAGTTACAGTAAGAAAAGAAGCCTCCAATTTTTTCACTGTAGTTTGTCAGCTCGGAAAGAAAATGATACAAGGACTGTAAATGTTTTCATGATCTTCTTCAGGGACTTGACCCAATCTGTCAGTCTAACACAATTATTCACTTCCCTGAGTACAGCTGAGGTTGATTTTGTGTTTTCTTTAATGGAAAAAGGAACAAATTACAATTAAGTTTTTATTTTTAATAGACTGTGAAAATACTTTTACTGGAAAAATAAAAATATTTTAAACTTAATTTCTTTTTTCAAGATAAATGTTCACTTGCAAATCAGAGTTAATATAGTCTACAGGATCTGTGTGTGTGTGTGTGTGTGTGTGTGTGTGTGTGTGTGTGTGTGTGTGTGTCAGTCATTATATATAGTTATGTTACTACAAGCCAGTGAGTCTTGTTCTGTTCTTTTTGATTTAAAGAAAAATAGTACGTTTGTATTTGTAGAAAAGTTATCTACAGGTGAGTTAAATAAAAAAATCTTGAATTTAGATTTTGGAAGACTTGGGCTAGTGAAAGAAATGACTTAGTGGGTAAAAGCATACTTGCCACCATGCCTGACTTCCTGAGTTCAGTCCCCGGAACCCATGTGGGAAGAGTGAACCAACCAGAGCAAGCTGCCCTCTGACCTCCACAGCTGTGCTGTGTCACAAACATGCACACACCAACTAAACAAAAATGTCATGGAGTTTGAAGACCTACATTCCAGACTGAACACTACTTACTCACTGGAAGTTTTAAGTCTCGTTAGTTTTCAGTTTCTTCATTGATAGCATTGAAGATAGTTGCCACATCTGCCTTTTATTGGAGCTTCCTTTTTTAAGGACATTAAAAAGTAAAATGGTGTGACAATTTTATGTTTTATAAGTTTTTCCTTATGCACTTAAACATGCTACATCCTTTGTGAATGTCACAGAGTATTCCAGCCTAAAACCTCAAGTTCACATGTATTTAGTTAAGAATTAAAATTAGGGCCTAGAGAGGTGACTCAGCAGTCAAGCACTTCCTGTTGCAGAAGATCTAGGCTCAGTTCATCACATCCACATCCAACTGTAACTCCAGCTCCAGTAGATCCAAGGCCTTCTTCTGGCCTCCACAGGTACTGCATGCATGTGATGCATAGAAACTCATGCAGGCACACAAACATACACATAAATAGTAAGAAACAGTTAAAATTAGTGCTGGGCATGGTAATGCAAAATCTAACTTTTTTTTTTTAACAAGTTGAAGCTTAGTGTAGTGGCACACATCTTTAATCGTAGCAGAGGCAGGCACATCTGTGCTTTCAAGACCAGCCTGGCCTACTTAGTGACCTCCAGGACAGCCAGGACTACAAGAAGAGACCCTGTCTGAAAGACTAAAAATTAGCTGGGCAGTGGTGGCACACACCTTTAATCCCAGCACTCAGGAGGCAGAGCCAGATGGATCTCTGTGAATTCAAGGCCAGCCTGGTCTACAGAGCAAGATCCAGGACAGACACCAAAACTACATGGAAAAACCCTGTCTCAAAAAGACAAAAAACAAAACAAAACAAACAAAAAAAAAAACCTAAATATTAAAGGCCAGGCAGTGGTGGCACACAGCTTTAATCCCAGCACTCGAGAGGCAGAGGCAGGTGGATCTCTGTGAGTTCAAGGCCAGCCTGGTCTAAAGAGCGAGTTCCAGGACAGGCTCCAAAGCTACACAGAGAAACCCTGTCTCAAAAAACCAAAAATAAATAAATACCAAAAAAGAAAAATAAGTGGAATATTAATTAAACTCAAGAAATTTGGCCAGGCGGTGGTGGTACATACCCTTAATCCCAGCACTCAGGAGGCAGAACCAGGTGGATCTCTGTGAGTTCAAGGCCAGCCTGGTCTACAGAGCAAGATCCAGGACAGGCACCAAAACTACACGGAGAAACCCTGTCTCAAAAAATAAAGCAAAAAACTCAAGAAATTTTCTTAGTGTTGCCTTGAAATGTCCTTTTATATTGTGTAGCTTCTTAGTTTATCTCTTGGGAGAATAAACTTTGTTTAAAGCCAATTAGTTACTTATAAATCATGTGGCAGTTCAGCATATTTTGTATTGTACATCAAATTTCAAGAGAGTCTTTAAGTCTTAAGTGTTTCTGCTCACGTAAAATAAGTGTTGGGTTTTGCTCATAATTTATTGATTATATTCTTCATCATTGGTGACACCAGTTTCATCCCCTATTTCTCATTCCCACCTGTATTTAGTGTTTGTTTTTCCTAGATATCTTCCATACTTTGGATATAGTTCCCTAAAAATCTATATAAAAGTTTGGAAATTTTACGCCGGGCGGTGGTGGCGCACGCCTTTAATCCCAGCACTCGGGAGGCAGAGGCAGGCGGATCTCTGTGAGTTCGAGGCCAGCCTGGACTACCAAGTGAGTTCCAGGAAAGGCACAAAGCTACACAGAGAAACCCTGTCTCGAAAAACCAAAAAAAAAAAAAAGTTTGGAAATTTTTAAGTTTTATATAAATGATATTACAGTATAAATTGTATTCTGCTTATTTTATAAAATTGGGTTTTCAAACCTATTTGTGTGCTTTGGGCCAGCAGATATTCCTATATTGTGTCTACATACCGTAGTTCACCTTTTCATCTCGTCATAAACCCTTGTCATTCTCTCCTCCGGCGTCTGCATAAATGTCTTCCTGTGAGTTTACTGGGTCTCCTCTGTCTGTCTTAGAGTGAACGAGGTCTTTCACTTGTGCCTATTGAATTTAGAAGCTAAACCAGTATTCTCTGGAAAGGTGTTCCAGTTTTCCATCCACCAGCAAGACGTGAGCATTTCCCATTTCTCTTATGTTTTCCCAGTACTTGTTTTTTTTTTTTTTGTTAATCTGATGCATGTAAGCGTATCAAGTAGATTTTGGTGGTGAAACAGATGGGTTTATGTTAGGTGAATCTGCCCAACAGTAGTCTGTTTACTCAATATGCTTTCTGTGTTTTTGTTATGTATATGTTTCATGTGACTTTCATGATGAATGATATTTTCTGCTGATCTTAATTCCTGCTTAACTTAGAGAGACTGGACAGCTAACTGGAGGCTTTGTGCATACAGGCAGGCTTGCTGGCTGTGAACTCAGTGTTAAATCTAATCTGAAAGGCATGGTGTAGAGCTTGGTAATGTTTTCTTTAGTTTATCCACCCAGTCTCAAACAGTGACCCACCAGACGTACAGACTGACCAGGACAGCAGACTAGAAAGTCCCTTAAGTACAGGTAGGCAGATACAGTGAAGGGTAGTAAAGGATTGAAGTTTCTCTTTCCAAACTTACCAACCAGCTGACTTGTTCTTCAGAACAAGTACAGTCGTCCAGAGGGAAGAAAGAAGCAGGAGGGGTGTTTCTCTAGAAAATACTTCTCTGTGGAAACATGGAGTAGAGAATTAGCTGAGACAGAATCGTGTTAGCTTGGATTTATGTTTTCTAGTTTGTCTTTATGGTTGCTTGTGTTTTAGGTTTTTTCTCTTTCCTGCCGTAAAGAGGAATTTATTGCAAAGTTAAAACTTGCTGATAGTTAGGCAGGCGATGGTGGTGCACTCCTTTAATCCCAGCACTCAGGTGGCAGAGGCAGGCAGATCTCTGTAAGTTCAAGGCCAGCCTGGGCTACAGAGTTCCAGGACAGCCAGGATTACACAGAGAAACCTTGTCTCAAAAAACCAAAAAAAAAAACTTGCTGATAGTTATCCATGGTTTTGTCAATAGTTACTTCAAATAATTCTGCCACTTTATTGCAAGCTTTGTGCTTATCATACTTGCTGTTTCTTTTACTTACCAGCTATATTAGTCAGGGTTCTCTAGAGGAACAGAACTTATAGAACGGAGAGAGAGAAAGTGTGTGTATACATATATAAATATATATATATATAATAAGTTTGCATATATGTGGATACACACACATATGTATATATACGTGTGTGTGTGTGTGTGTGTGTGTGTGTGTGTGTGTGTGTGTGTGTGTGTGTGTGTGTGATGGTTCACAGGCTGTGGTCCAGCTAGTTCAACAGTGCTGTCTACGAATGGAAGATTCAAGAATCCAGTAGTTGTTCAGTCCATGAGGCTGGATGTCTCAGCTGGTCCTCTGTATACTCTATAATCCCAAAGGAGGAGGCTCTAATGCCAATGAAGGAATGGACTTGCCTAGCAAGAGCAAGCAAAGAGAAAGGCTCCCTCCTCCTTGTCCTTTTCATAGGCTACCACGGAAGCTGTGGTCTCGGTTAAAGGTTTATCTTCCCACCTCAGAGTTTCAGATTAGAAGTGGTTCTTTCCACTTCTAATGATTTAATTAAGCAAAAGTCCTTCACAGGTGTGCCAGCCATTTGGGTTTTAGTTAATCCAGACGTAGTCAGTTTGACAACCGAGACTAGCTGTCACATCCAGTTTCCTTCTCCGGGTTTGTAAGCTCTGTGTGCCTTCTTTATTCATGTAACAGTTGCTTCTCATCCAGTTTATTTTTTTATCTCTGCTAACATTCAAATACAGGAGTCTTAGGACAACACAGCGATGCTGGCCTGCTGTTATCCTCCATGGTTTCTCCCAGAGAATCAAGCACTACTGCCCTACCCTTATTCTGCCACCAATGATTATCATCTCTAGTTTTTAGTTTAGATTGTTGAAGTTAATTTCAATATTGTTCTATCTGAACAAACATCTTTTCTGGCACTCTTTGTTTACACATTCACTTACTATATTTAACTGTCAAAATAGTACGGTGTCGTGGTTCTAAAAAGTAAATTTGTGTTTTGTTTTTTAAAGCATAGACAAATACAACAAGTTCTCAGAGTTTTGATAAGTGAATGTGTAAACAAAGAGTGCCAGGAAAGATGTTTGTTCAGATAGAACAATATTGAAATTGGTCACTCACTCGCTCCTTGGAATAATTTTTCACTTGGCTTTCAGAAGACCACACTTTTGGTTTCCCGGCAGTATTGCTGACCTTACTTTCAGTTTTCATTGCTGGCTTCTCTTCATATCAACCCTTAGTTGGAGGGCCTCCGGGCTGAGACTTTGGACTTGGACTTCTTCCAATGCATTTGCTTCCTGGGAACTTTTAGGATTCCTCTTTCTAATTCTGTAAATTTCACAATCATTATATTCATTCTTTTGTCCTTCTGGAACTTAAATTAGACCTGTTTTGAGTCTTTCTTTGTCCTCTACATCTGTGTCTGTCGTAACTTCTTTTTATCTCTGTGTGGTCTAATCTGGATAAATTTTAAATGTCTATTTTCTTGCTTGC